TAGATATAGATTAGATATAGATATGTCATTTACCACATCTAGGCTACCAGAGGAAACTGGCAAAAATTCATTCATTGAAGCGCATCTCAGCCAAGGCATTTCTCTCTAAATCCCCTTGTTCTGATTCCAAACCAGACAGAGTACTGGCCTTGTGTTTTCTTGTAAAGTATAGACCTATACAACAAAGCATGTTTTCTCAGACCAGAGCTAGTAACCTCCAACAATGAGGGTTTGTGAGTCCTAACTGGGTTCTCTAGGTGGGTGGTGACATAATAGCTTACTACAGTCATTCATTCTTTTCCTCAAAAGAACCATGTATCTTGAAAAGTTCTGCTCCATCACAGGGCAAAATCCCATTTTAACTACAGTGTCTACTGATGTTTGCGTATGAATAAAGTCGACAAATATCTTTAAAGCCCACTAGGAAAGGAGAGCTTAGTTTCACCACTCTTGGGAACAATCTTGGTTGATCTTTGTGTTCCCAAAGGCTTCCATGCTCAATGAGTGACCAATCATTAACCATGAAGTCCTTAAGCATAATAATGTGAGGAAAGAGAAAACAATGAGTATGTCCGTAATATAAATTTTATTCAGCTTTCAATTAGCTTTTTAGATCCTTTCCAAACAGAATTTACAAGGCCATGACTATAGAGATCTCATAATATTAGAAGCATTCCCTTCCAGTTTGTAAGAGCAGAGAAAAAGAAGAAAGAAGAAACCTATATTTGTAAACTTATGTAAATCTAGGAGGATTTTTTTCTTTCAAACTTCATTTTTAATAGCCAGAAATACAATTTAGGAATACCTTTTAATTTCATTTTTTTAACTAAGAAAAACAAAAAAGTAACTTTGAATTCTTACATAAATTCTTAGTGATTGTCTTGAATCTCATCCCTCTTTCCACCACCCACAAGAAGATTAGGGACTGTGGACTTCCTGCTGGAGGAAGTAATTGGTCAATCACTTTGGAATCCATTGGAACCCTTTGCAGCATTAGACAAGACAGGCATATACAGCCATAAAATATTCCTTTCTTAACTTAGAGCTCAGAACTAGATGTCAGTCCCTAAGACCCTCTGCTTGATATGCTGGCATTCCAAGTTATATATTGCCCAAACTAGGAAGAGATTTTTGTAATCTATTTATTCTTAGAGAGAAGGGAAAGGAGGGAGAAAGAAAGAAGAGAAATTTCGATGTGAGAGAGAAACATCGGGACCAAACTGCAACCTAGGCCAGTACCCGTATCAGGATTGAAACCAGTGACCTTTAGCATCACAGAAGGATGCCCAACCAATTGAGTGCAGCCTTCAGGGCACTGAGATTTTATCTTAGACAAATAATTGTTGCTTTCACGGGTGACCTTCTGTTTTTATATTAAACTGACAACATGCTATTTTAGAACTTTACATGAATTTTTTTCACGATACATTTGACACAACTTCCAAGCAGCACTTCAAACAATTTACGTCACAGCTTTTAGGAGTCAAAAAGAGAGGGAAAGAAGATCAGTTAGTTACATGTCAGAATGTGAGATTGAAAAGATCGTTAAAACCCTGTATATCTAAGATAAAGAGAAGTAGGAGAAATTAAAATGCAGCTGTAGGTGGCAGTGTCACGTCCGCGCCACATTCCCTCGAGTCACTAGCTCAGTCATCTCATAAATAAGTGAGGAGTTCCCACTACGGGCCGGGCCCACACTGAGGCCAGTGATGCACAGGGACCTCTGCTACGCCCGCAGCCTCATGCGTATTTGCGATCACAGATAGAATTCTATCAGTCCTGTCAAAAATGGCAATTGTTTGCCATTCCAGACGAACTCTTTATAATAGCCTTGAACGTGATTATCCTGTAAAAACAATAACAACAAAAAAGATCTTTAAACCGACCTGAACATATTTAACACAGAATAAAATCATCACATATTTCCACCAAAAAAATAAAGTTTTCTTAGAGTAAGTCTTTGCTTCTTCCCTGTCGCAAGGCAAAAACTCTTACTGCTCCCAAGAGGCGAAAAGAAAAGAAAAGAGGCGAAAAGAAAAGAAAAGAAAAGAGGCGAAAAGAAAAGAAAAGAAAAAAGAAAAGAAAAGAAAAGAAAAGAAAAGAAAGGAAAAGAAAAGAAAAGGCATTTTTTTAATAAGTGTGCTTAGTGCGGTCTGGTAAAAGTCGGGTCGCTTACAACAGCAGACAACACCCTCAGCCCCTGGTGCCTGGTTGCCCGGCTCCCACCACGTAGCCGGCCCCGCCTTTCCCCCCACCCCCCCGGCCCCGGCCCCGCCCCGCCCCGCCCCGCCCCCGGCCCCGCCTGCGGTGGAGCATAGCCCCGCCTCCATTGGTCTCTGGGCGGGGACCCACCAGGCTCCCCGCCAGCGCGTCTTAGCGGACGGCTGGTTCCTCTGGACAGCTGTGTTGGAGCCCAAGAAGTCACACCCGTCTCCGGCCCGTAGCTGAAGCCCCGGCCCACGTGGCAGCGGATCGTGAACTCCGGGGCTGCAGAGTGCCGGGGGCAGTTTCCAGCCCCGCGGTGCTGAGCCGCTCAAAAAAGGCCCCAGGCCCCAGCCGCTGCAAGGGGCTAGTTCCTCCCCTAACCACCCTCCCACCGTGCTAGCCGCTTCAGTCGCGTTGGTTGTCGCTCTTGGGCTTAAAAAACTATTTTAAAAAGAGACTCGAAATTCAGCCCGACACCTCGAAACGAACCCTGCGGGTCAGCTTCCAGCAGTTCGCGTGCATCTGCCCCAACTCTGCTCCTTTCTTCTTCCTACTTCACCCCCTGTCCCTTTCCTTTCCCCTCCCTTCCCTTCTCTTTTTTCTCCTGGAGCCCTCCTTCCAAATTTACTGGTTCGAGTGTCCTGACGCTGAGGAGGTGTAAACTTTGGACTAGGGGCCCTTCTTTTGCAATGCCCTGGGGCGGTGCCCCAGCTTTGCGTTCCAGTGATCAAAGGCCCTAGTAAAATCTACAAAAGCAAGGCCTTTTGCATTCTCTTTCTTATGGTGACACCCAAAATTGAGCATCATCCTTCATTTCTCTGCCCACCCAAAACCTGGACGCGCCCTTGGTAAAGAGTGTTGATGCGCCAAGCTGCAGACTCGCCACTTATCCTAGCTGACTCGGGTGTAGGCACTTCTGAAACGTGTCAAAGACAAGGTCTCCTTCCTGGGTTCTTCAAACCCCTAGATTTATGTTCCAGATTCTGAGTAGAAAACTAACTACTACAGGGGCCCTCCATCCTTGTGAAAACTACTCGCTCCGGTGGAGGGGCTCGTTTTTCTCCACGTGTGCTGGATTTCTCCATCAGGGGGCGCCCATACCCGCCACAAAACCCCCTGTTCCTAGACGTTTGGGTTCTGCTAGTCCACTGCAGGCAACTGCAGGCTGATCCCAAGGAGCGCACCTCCTCCCTCGCTCCTCCCTGCTAGCCTGCGTCGGCGGACAGGGGAGGCTGGGTTTTCACACTAGCCATTCATTTGTCAGCCATGGGGGAGGGGACGCAGGAGCTAGAGAGGCCGAGCGGCAGAGGCTGGGAGAGGGGAAGGGAGGCAGAGAAGATGGAGACAGAGGGAGAGACAAAGATGATACAAGGAACACAGATAGCGAGACTGCCTTTCCGCCTGTGGGTGTGCGCACGGCGGGACACCTCTCCAGGCCCTGCACAGATTTCTCTTTCGTCCCGCAGCATCTTCCGGGGACATGCCAGACTTGTTGATGTGCAGCTGGATCCCAGAGCAAATAGTTTAGACTATGACATTATTTCTCTACCTCGATATCTGATGCCTAAACACTGACCGTGACCCGCCCAGTGATAGAGACCACGAGCCGGGACAGCCCTGAGGCTCCCTAGTCCACAAGCACCGGGGATGTCGCAGCCCGGCAGCACCCAAGACTCCGCAGGGCGGTGGGACGCTTAACAGAGGGCGTCCCGCGGGGCTCCCGGCACACGCTCTCCGTGGCCGTTTGACCGGCCAATAAAGTTGCTCAACTTGGGCCGAAAGCTGGGAGGGGCTGGGGAAATGGAAAGAAAAGGAAGGTTTCGGTCACCGGGGCGAGACGGCTGGTCCTAGAGGCTCCAGATTCGAGTCCCCGCACCACCTTTGTCTGCAGAGTGCTCGGAGCGTTGGCTTGCTCCTTGAGATGGGAGTGAAAGCTTCCACTTAGCTCCTCAGGGTAAGATAAAATTCTTGTACATCACTGCTAGTTTAGGGCGAGCTTTTCCCGCCCAGGTGCCGCTCAGACCTCCACGATACTCCAGTAACCCCACCCCCTCTCCTGCTCCTTCCCCGGACAGCCCCGGTGCACAAGGCGCAGGACAAAAGAACGCAGGGGCAACAGGGAGAGCCTTGACAGCCCCCCAATCGCCAAGGAGACGCAGCCCCGACACTCTGCACCTCCCCCGGCCGGACATACCCCCAGGCTGCCTACGGCTGAGGGGATCACGTCGGCGCAGGTCCCGGGCTGCTGGGACGTGGGGTCGCCCTGTCAGGAGCTGCCCCAAGCAGCTTTCCAGGAACGCAGAGAACTGACTGCACACCAGGGGCCGGGAACCAGGTGGCCAGCAGCGAAGCAGCTTCTGGGACTTGTATGTGGGCAAGTCTCGGAGTCCCCATTCAAACTTTTGCCTCAGCAGGTTAACAAAAATTTTCAGATCAATGTGCCAGGGGTCCCTCTCTCCTCTCCAGCTCAAGACCCCACGACTTTTCTAGGGGTTCTCCACAATTCTCTTTCCTCCCTTCCCCCAAATCCGTTAGTAGTTCTACGCCCACCCCACTTCGGGCTTCTTTTGTCTGGATCTTTTTCAGCACCACGGTCCTTCTGTATTCGTTTCTTCAAATGTCCTTCTGAAAGTTACCTGCATCTTTAAAGTGCTTATATTTTCTTAACTTAGCCCTACAGATAGTTCTTTTTGCCTTAATTAAAGCCTTCTATCAATTGCAATGTACTTCTTTTTTCTAAGTTCGCTTTTTTTCTATAAGTTTTTTTTTAAGGGGAAACAAAGAAACGTGATTACCTTGAAAGGCGGCTTAGTGCAGTTTGTGGGAAACAATTCACCGCAGAGCTGCGCGAATGGGTTCGTTGTTGCCTGGGCGGATCACATAGGAAGCGCGGTGGCCTGGGGATGGGTGCGGAGGGTGCGGGATGGTGCTGGAGGATGCGGGAGGTTGCGGGGCTGGTCCAGCGCCTGTCCACAGCACTTAATGTTCGCGGCTGCTTCGCCTGCCCGCCTGGAGTTCTTCCCCAGAAAGGCTTGGGGCAGCTTGCCTGCAAGTTCAAATGCGGGTTGTGACACCCATCATCATTATATCACTGTACCGTCAGCATCGAGGAGGAGACTCATCGAGGAGGAGGAGGAGGAAGAGGAAGAGGAGGAGGGTTCATTCACAGGCTCCTGAAGCGCTCCGCTGCTTCAGCCACTCCTAAGAGCCCAGGCTTGGAGAACAGGCAGAGAGGCGGAAAGGCAGCTCCCCGCGCTTGCGGTAGGGACCGCCTGCCTCCCTCCCCAGGCACTCCCACCTCTCGGCGTTTCTTCCTGACAAGTACCAATCGGCTTGGGGACAGCAGCACTCCCCATTCAGCTACTCCCTAAGTAACATCGCACTGCGTGCGAGGAACCACTGCCCTCCCACCCCTTCCCCACCCCCACCTCCCGCCCCCGTGCTGCCAGTTCTCGGTTAGGGGGGAACGAGCCCCCAGGCTCCTGTGGGACAGGCTAGTACTAGACAATTGAGTACCGTCAGTTCTTGCGAGCAAACGAAACTCGGTAAAATCAGCAAAGAACTTGGTTGCAGCGTGCTTATGCGGCCACAGAGCCTGCGTGTCCCATCTGAGGGAAGTGTGAGGCTCCAGGTTTCTGCCAATCTGAGACACAGAAAGGGAGATCCTTCTGAGATCTAGAGGGAAAGCATAAGAATTCCCCACTTCCTTCCCGGGACCTGCCCAATGGGGAGGCCAGCGTCCCTGTGCAATCTACAAAGACCTGGTAATAAAGGGCTGGACAGGAAATTCTCTTATTGGATCAAACAGATCCTCTTCCTCTGACACAAACCTACATTCAGTCTAGATTCTTTCCTGTTTTTTTTTTTTCCCGTCAGACTTTCAAAGTGTCCCTCGTGACAGAGTATTTAATAATTGTTCTGAGTGACAGAGACTCCTTGGATATATCAATCACCTTCCTTGTGAGCAAGAAGTGAAACCATAATCCTTCATATTTATGTGAAATCTGTTTTCAGCCAGGCCCACCCAAATAGGTGAACTACATCAACACACGGAAGAGTGCCCTGCATTGTGTTACAAAAGCTTTCAATAGGACCTTACAGAGCAAAGGGTCAGCCAGTTAACACAAAGCTGTTCTGCCCCCTTCCAAAGAGACTTTGTATTATCCTTCTCTTTGAAGTCAAGTGTGAGTTTATAAGATGGGAGCAAAATAAGTCCAAGGTGCATATCAGTTTAATGCTGGGGTTACTGGAATGGACAGGAAGAATTTCTTTCTATACAAATATGGAAACATCTTCATAATTCCTCTCTCTGGTCTCTACTCAGACTACTATATCAAACACAATACCTCAGAACAGTGATGTTTAAAGGAGAAAACCTTTTTTCACCCTGAATCTCTTTGAGTAGGTTGGCTGAAGCTCATATTTTAAAAGTTGTAGTAACATGGACTCGTGTGCATGCACATTTATAACATTTCCTTTGTGAGTTTCTTTTGCAAATTGTATGCATCCTGTATGGTTATAGTTTTTAAGTGATAAAAGGTAGGTTTATCAGGAGAATTTCAGTCTTCAAAATGTACATGTTTCATTTCTTTTATCAACTCACCACAGTGAATGATATGAATATTAATGATAGGATATAGAAATCAATTTGATTCCACAATGATTTATTCTTAGTATAGTTATTATACTACCATTCCTAACATTGAAATTCTATTCCATTAAATATTTAGAAAAGTAGAGTCATGCAACAGAATTGGACTTCCATCTTTACATTTAACAGATAAGCAAACTAAAGCCCAGAAAGTGACTTTCCTAAGTCACTGGCACCAGAGCTGGTACCAGAATGTAAATCTTGACTCTTGGTTCACTGATCTTTTCACTGCTACTCATATCAATTTGATGATCAAGATGACTTGACTCAGAAAAGGAGAAAGTGAAATAAAAGAATCTTTATTGAAATTTATATTTCAGGCACTAGTGTAGACCTTTATCTGAAACACTTCTAGGTATGTCTTATTAGTCTCATTCTTAAATTTGAGTTAACTTAGCTGAGTTCTAAAGAGTTTAAGTTTGTTGTCCAAGGCCACTTTCTGAGTGGTAGACCTGCCAACCTAAAAAGCTTAATTCTATCTCTCTTACCTTGCTCTCCTTTTACAATATGGTTAAGTAAAACATTTTCACAAAGGCAGTCTACAGCAGAAACCAGCAACTAATAACAGTAATAACCACTTTCAGGGAAATGTTAATAGTTAACATTCACTATAAATAATGCCATCTGTACGTGATGGAACATAATGAAAAATTATGGCTCTGATACTCTTTATACCCTGAGATATTTTCCTTTATCTTGCCAAATGTGTTTCTCTAGCCCACCAGTGTGTATCATTCCTTATAATGTCCACCCAAAGACATTATATCTCTCGACCAAGTAGCTCTACAGGGCAAAGGCACTGTCTTAGGCAGACTTAACTAGTCAGAACATTGACAACGTTGAAAAGCTTTATACTGCACGCCTTTATTTTGACATGTTACATTATTGTTTAGAAAGATCAAACACTTCTCAGGCTGTCGCATAACTAAAATGAAGTGACGCCCCTGAATACCTGCTATGTGTTTTCTTTATCTAAGGCATATTTTCACCTCTAGCTCTCTATGATAGAGAAGAAATAAAAATGAAAGCGTACTAGGTACATTCAGGGTAAAGGCTACAGCTATTCCATTTCTATGTAATTGTGCTTGTAACTCTCTCTCCACCCCCCTTCCTTCTTCCCTTTCTTCCTTTTTTTAATTGAGAAAAAGAGAATGAGAGGACAGTTATTTCTCATTTTCTTGTGTCTGGAAAATCATCAGACATTTTTGAATTGGAAAATGTATTTTTGCAGCTTTTATAACAAAAACTGAATTTGCCCATTAGACTGAAGTCTGTATCACACAGTAATTCAAATATCATCCTGTGCATCCTCTTTAAATCCTGTCCTTGTACTGGAGACATTCTGTATGTAAACTCCACAGTTCAGGTGTAGGTAAAGCAAGATCTTCACTCCTAGTGCTGGTGTCTATAAGAAACCAGAAGCCAGGAGCAACATGCCTTGCTCCGTTGCCTTGATCTTGTCTTTGGGAACTTGGCTGATATCAGGGACAGCCAGCCAATGAGTTGAAGAAGAAAGGTGTCATCAGCAAGTGGATCTCCAGGGAATTTCATTATCTTCATCTAAACCTCTATCTGAGGGCCTTAGGGATAACATTTCAGTCTTCTCCTTTTTTATGGATCAGGTGAAGTATTCTGAGACATGGTACTATCTGTTGTTGCACTAGGGATGACTAGGTTTCAGTCCCATCCACATTCAGACAACAGAGTTTGCATTTCAAGCCCCTGGTCTGGTTGATCCTAGGCACAAGGAAGTCTCCTCTCTGGGTGGGGAAAGAACGTGACAGATTAAAAATGCACCTTTATGAATCCAAAGACCCTAGAAAATGGGAGCCAACCTTCTGAGAGTGCTAAATTTTAAAAAGGTTTTGTTTTGTTTTAACTCTACAGACTAGGAACAGACATTTTATCCAACACTTTAAATCCTCTTTGGTTTTTTTTTTTTTTAGGAAATGCAAAACTAATGTAAGGTTTTTGTTACCTTCTTTAAAAAATAAAAGAAACCCTACAAAAGGATGGTGACAATCTCATTACATTTAGCCTTAAGTATATAAATTATTTAGAGAAATTAAACACAGACAAATATCCTTGAAAGCCACAAGAAATTGATTTTTCCCAGAAATCAGATACCAAGTCTCTGCTTCCCAACCCCCAAATCAAAATTTTACAGTAAAATATTTCTTTCAATAAAAGAGGTTTGTGTTTTTTTTTAATTTGCTGTAAATGTCTTGTCCATGGTTGGGCAGATTTCTCCAGGACTTAACTGGAAGACCATCTACATCACGATGGAACTATGCAAGTCAAAGCCAAGTTCCAACATGGAGTGATGGGAAAAAGGCTGGGCTGCGGAGAGGAGATGACTTCATAAGGGAGAAAGGAGGCTCTCCGATTCCGTCCACACGGCAGCCAAATAGCTCAGCACATCTGCACTCACCCCCGGGAGACTGCCTGGAGCAGAGTATCAAAAAATGCCATCGTTTTTATAAAGACAAAGATCAAGACATAAATTAGGCAGTCTCACTAATTGAATCAAAGATAGTATCAACCTAACTCTTTTTCTTAGTCACTTTCTCAGACTTTTTTCCCTTCCCCACAGCCTGAAAAATATAGGTCATGTTTTATAAAGCATTTGTCTGACCAAGATGAAATGAAGAATCTGTTTTCTGAACACAAGGAAGCGGTAGAGATCTTGGAATCTATGTGGCAAGGCAGAGAACAATGCAGAGAGTTTTTTAAGAGGGAAAACTTTTGCAGTGGCTGTTTATTTTCAATGAGTACCAGACCCCATTTATTTAATTAGAGTACAATGGGACCCAGAAACAAGAAGCTTCACGAAACCATCACAAATGGTGCAAAAAGCCACCACAGCATCATTAGTTTCCCTGGTGAGCAAAGGGGAAAAGCAAGAGAGGAAACAAGGAAGTGCTACATGAGAAGAAGGTTTGGAGAGCTCTGTCTAGTACAGGTAGCAGAACCAACGTGCAGGCACTTCATTTTATTCTATCAGTAAAAAGAATTGCAGGACTACTTGAATGTCAGAGACTTTGGGCTCTTGCCACAAAATATGAGTGATCACATTTTAACCCTGTGACTCAAAGGAGATCAAATATTTGTTTAACTCATAAAGAAAAAAAAGACAAGAATACTTATAAAACTCAGCAAATACTTATCCCAAATTGTCTGCTCTCAATTTCATTTCTGTTTTCTTTGTTCAATTCAGTAGTTACTGAGCACCTTCTCTGTGCCCTGTTTAAGACCTTAGGCGTTCAGGCATTATTCAGTAGGTAAGAACTGCTTCTTATCTAAAGGAGTTTATAATCTCTGTACAAAATTTAGTTTATTAGAGTAGCCATGGTTATGATTTATCTACATAATGACTAATGAATTTAGAGGGAAAAGTGTATTTTTTTGCATGAGTCCTTTGACTGGTCTACACAACCATCTTTAAAAAAAAAACCCCACAGACTACAAATAGATGAGGGAGACTGGTAGCTCAACCAATCTTTCTTTACTGGAAAATCTCTTCCATGTACATATCCTAC